TTAACCAATATCAACAACAGTATCAGATAGAGGAAAACAAATGGAAATTGGCAGTGCCTTGTTTGCTCTTGTCTCCAAGCAGTTGGTGTGTCTGAGTGATAGAGTGATACAACAAAGAAACAGACCCTTCAGTCCATCCAGTCCATGCCAACCATAATCCCAAACTAAACTAATCCCACCTACCTGTTCCTGGCCCATATACCTACAAACCTTTCCTTTTCATGAACATATCTAAATGTCTTAACTGCACCCACATCCACCAATTCCTCTGGAAGTTCATTCCACACACAAAGCACCATCAGTGTAAACAAATTGCCCCACAAGTCTTTTTCTAAATCACTCTCCTCTCACCTGAAAAAATACTCCCTAGTCTTGAAATTCCCCACCCTAGGGACTAGACATCTACCATGAATGCTATCTGTGCCACTCATGATTTTATAAACCTCTATAAGGTCACTTCTCAACTTCCTGCACTCCAGTGAAACAGGTCCCAGCTTATCCAGCCTTTCTTTACATCTCAGACCTTCCATACCCAGCAATATCCTCGTAAATCTCCTCTGACCCCTCTCCCTAACTTGATAATATCCTTCCTATAACAGGACGACCAGAACTGGATACATTACTCCAAAAGTGGCCTCACCCCGGTCCTGTACAATCTCAACACGATGTCCCAACTCCTAAACTCAAAGGAATGAGCATTTAAGGCAAGCGTGCTGAACACCTTTTTTTAACCACCCTGTCTACATGTAATGCAAACTGCAAGGAATGACATATCTGAACCCAAGGTCCCTCTGTTCTACAACATTACTCATGGCCCTACCACGATGATGCACTGATGAAAGCAATAAAGATAATTCTTCACAGGTTAATGCCCATGAGATAGTGGCAGAGCAAATACCACATTGTTGACTTCTGTTGGGAACATAGGACTAGGCCATTCAGCCCCTCAAACCTGCTCCATTATTCAATGAAATCATGGTTGATCTGTGACCTAACTCTATACACCTGCCTTAATCCTATATTTCTTAATATCTTTGGCTTCACAAAAATATATCTATCTCAGATTTTAAAATTAAGACCTGATCCAGCATCCGCTGACGTTTGTGGAAGAGAATTCCAAACATCTCCCAACCTTTGTGTGTCAAAGTGCTTCCTAACATCTCTCTGACCCTAATTCTCACACTATGCTCCCTTGTTCTAGAATCTCCAACCAATGGAAATATTTTATCTTGATGTTCTGTCTTGTCCTGTTCATATCTTGAAGATTTCAATCAGGTCACACCTTAACTTTCTAAATGCTTGAGAAAACATGCCTTATTTGTGTAATCTTCATGTCATAACTAAATCCCTGATGCCCAGGTATTATTCTTGTAAGCCTGTGTTGAACGGTCTCCAAGGCCAATATTTTCTTCCTAATGTGTGGTACTTAGATCTGCTCATGGTACTCCAACTGGGGTCTAACCAAGGTTTTGTTTTTTTTTCCTGTTTTATTCATTCACAGAATGAGGGCATCGCTTTGAGGCATCATTGACTGCCCAGAGGGCAGTTGAGAGTCAACCACATTGCTGTGGGTCTGGAGTCACATGTAGGCCAGTCCAGGGAAGGATGGCAGTTTCCTTCCCTAAAGGACATTAATGAACCAGTTGCGTTTTCCCAACAATTGGCAATGGATTCATGACCATCATTAGATTCTTAATTCCAGATATTTTTTATTGGATTCAAATTCCACCATCTGCCATGGTGGGATTCGAACCCAGAATGTTATCTTGGCCTCTGAATTAACTGTCCAGTGATAATACCAGTAGGTCATTGTCTCCCTAGCAGTTGTATAACTTCATCATAACTCCAGTTCTCTAAATGTAGGACTATATGTACAGGTAATACCCAGCATCCATTAGCTTTTTAAATTATTTTCTGCACCTGTTCATGACATTTTAAAGATCTGTGCATCTGAACCCCCAAGTCTCTTAGAACACCCACTGGACTTAACATCATACCATCTAGAACATACCCTGTTCCTTTTTCAGTTCAAAATGGATAACCTTACAATTGCTCACATTGAACTCCATCTGCCACAGTTTTGCCCGTTGACTCGATCTATCAATATCCCTTTGTAATTTTACGCTATCATCTACACTGTCCAAAACACCGCCTAACTTTGTGATATCATATAGAACATAGAACATAGAACATTACAGCACAGTACAGGCCCTTCGGCCCTCGATGTTGCGCCGACCTGTGAAACCAATCTGAAGCCATCTAACCTAAACTATTCCATTATCATCCATATGTTTATCCAATGACCTTTTAAATGCCCTTAAAGTGGGCGAGTCTACTGTTTTTGCAGGCAGGGCATTCCACGCCCTTACTACTCTCTGAGTAAAGAACCTACCTCTGACATCTGTCCTATATCTGTCACCCCTCAATTTAAAACTATGTCCCCTCATGCTAGCCATCACCATCCGAGGAAAAAGGCTCCCACTGTCCACCCTATCTAATCCTCTGATCATCTTGTATGTCTCTATCAAGTCACCTCTTAATTTTCTTCTCTCTAACGAAAACAGGCTCAAGACCCTCAGCTTTTCCTCATAAGACCTTCCCTCCATACCAGGCAACATCCTGGTAAATCTCCTCTGCACCCTTTCCAATGCTTCCACATCCTTCCTATAATGCGGTGACCAGAACTGTACGCAATACTCCAGATGCGGCCGCACCAGAGTTTTGTACAGCTGCAACATGACCTCATGGCTCCAAAACTCAATCCCTCTACCAATAAAACCTAACATACTGTACACCTTCTTAACAACGTTATCAACCTGGGTGGCAACTTTCAGTGATCTATGCACATGGACACCGAGATCTTTCTGCTCATCCACACTACCAAGAATCTTACCATTAGCCCAGTACTCTGTATTCCTGTTACTCCTTCCAAAGTGAATCACCTCACACTTTTCCGCATTAAACTCCATTTGCCACCTCTCAGCCCAGCTCTGCAGCTTATCTATGTCCCTCTGTAACCTGCAACATCCTTCCGCACTATCCACAACTCCACCAACTTTGGTGTCATCCGCAAATTTACTAACCCATCCTTCTACGCCCTCATCCAGGTCATTTATAAAAATGACAAACAGCAGTGGCCCCAAAACAGATCCTTGAGGTACACCACTAGTAACTGAACTCCAGGATGAACATTTCCCATCGACCACCACCCTCTGTCTTATCAGATAGAATCTTCCCCTTGGTGTTGAGATTGTTATGCTCACTATTTCGTCCCATGGAAATGACACTGGTTGCAATTCAATAGTTAGGAGGCATCATGGAGTGACTAATTTGCTTCAGATATCCCAACCTTTGGCTTGGTTTTGTAACCATAGTGTTTATATAACTAGAACAAGGATCAAAGAACAGCACAGCACAGAAACAGGCCTTTTGGCCCACCAAGCCTGCATCAACACATGATGCCTTTCTAAACTAACAATCTTTTTCCTCTATGCAACCGCTAACCCTGTATTCACTGCTTATTCATGTACCTGCCAAGATGCCTCTTAAACGTTGCTATTGAATCTGCTCCTACATCTCCTCTAGCAGCGTATCCCAGACACTTACCACCCTCTGCATAAAAAACTTACCTCTCACATCTCCCTTAAACTTTCCCCCTTTTACCTTAAACCTATGTTCCCCAACAATTGACATTTCTACCCTGGGGAGAAAGATTATGACCATCCATTCGATTCATGCTTCTCATAATTTTGCAGACATCTATCAGGCCACCTCTCAGCCTCTGATGTTCAAATGGATACAAACCAAGTTTGTCCAATCTCTCCTCATAGCTAATATCCACCAAACCAAGTAACATCCTGCTAAATCTTTTCTACACTCTGCCCAAAGCCTTCACATCCTTCTGGTAATGTGGCAATGAGAAGTGCACACAATATTCCAAAAGTGGCCTAACTAAAGTTTTATATAGCTACAACATGACTCACCAATTTTTATACTCTATGCCCCAAACAATGAAGGTAAGAATACAATACACCACCTAGACCACCTTACCCACTTGTATTGCATACTTCTTTCAGGGCACTGTGAACCTGTACACCTAGATCTCTCTGTATGTTCATGCATCTGAGGGTTCTCCCATTTACTATATACTTCCCTCCTGCATCAGATCTTTCAAAATGCATCACCTTACATTTGTCTGGATTAAATTCTACCTGCCACTTCTCCGCCCTTGCCTCCAGCCTATCTTTAGCCTGCTGTGCCCTCTGGAAATCCTCCTCTCTACCCACAGCTCCCATAATCTTTGTGCTATCCACAAATTTAATAATCAGAGCTCTTACATTCTCCGCCAATTTCTGCAGTGCATTTTGTAAATATTGCTACAACTGAGTATCGGTTGAGTAGTGGATGTGGTGTCAAACAAGCAGGGACTGCTTTGAGATAACAAGGTGTAGAGCTGGATGAACACAGCATGTCAAGCAGCATCAGAGGAGCAGAAAAGCTGAAGTTTCAGGTCTAGACCCTTCTTCAGAAATGCTTTGTCCTAGGTGGTGTCAAGTTTCTTGAGTGTTGTTGGAGCTGCACCCATCCAGCCAAGTGGGTTGTTTTACATTACGCTCCTGACTTCTGCCTTGTGGATGATGGACAGATTTTGGGGAATCATTTGGGGAGATTTTGGTTACTTGTTTGAAGATTGCTAGCCTCTGACCTGCTGTTGAAGCCACAGCAGATGCTAACATGAACTCTTGAGCTGTTTTGGGCATTATTATTATCAACATCCTGCCTGCTCTGGTGATTTTTTAAAATTATTACTTCACTATTCCTGTTCTGAGCTCCAAATGTTGAATGGGAGAGTCCCAACATCAATATTCTAACTCTCATCTGCTCCACGTAGTTGAGTAACTCTGACCCAATTCAGAGCCATGTTTGCTTTAGTTAAAAATTAATCTGGTTCATTAACCAGGGACCGCTGGCAGGACACTGGCTAGAACAGGAACCAACACTGCTCTGTTAGGATGGAGAGAGCCCGGCTCACTGCCCTTGCTGTTTGGTCACTTCTATTTGTCGGTGAGAGTGAATTTCTCACGTTGGTATTGAGGGCTAGGACGAAGACTGTGGGGTGGGAGGGGATGGTGGTGAGGATAAATTAAATACAACCTCAGCAACTGATTTCATAATCTGCGCCCTGTCACCATTTACAATTTAACTGTCTGAACGCTAACCTGGGATTCTTCTTCCCCTTGTAGTTGACTCTGAGGCTTTGACCATCTCAGTGAGTGAGAGGCTGATTAATGCAGCAATCGGAAACCCTGTGATCCTGTCAGTCAGACCGTCGGAGAGGGTGAGGAGTGGGGTTTGGAGACACAACGGTTCAGATGTCCTTGCGTGGATTGGAGAAACATCAGATATTAATAATCTTTACACAGGACGGGTGGAGTTCTTACACAGTAACGGCTCTCTCTTGCTCAAATCAGTGAATGTTTCAGACAGCGGAGAGTACAGTGTTACAGTGAACTCATTCACTGGTGATACAACGGATGCAGCAATGAACCTTTTTGTATTTGGTGAGTAACAGGAGTGTTTTCCTTATCCAAGCCATTGTGAAATTTACCATTGCTGATGGCCTGGGTGAGTCAAGAGAATTTTCGAGTCAGGGAGTCATACAGCAGAGAAACAGACCCTTCGGTCCAACCAGTCCATGCTGAACATAATTCCAAACTAAACCAGTTCCACCTGCCTCCACTTGGCCCATATCCCTCCAAACAGTTTTATTCATGTGCTTATCCAAATGTCTTTTAAATGCTGTAACTACACCTGAAACCCATCACCTTCTATGGAAGTCCACTCCAAACACGAACCATGCTCTGTGTAAAAAAAAATTTGCCCCCATGGCCTTTTTAAATCTCTCTCCTCTCACCTTAAAAATATGGTCCCTAGTCTTGAAATGCCCCACCCTTGGGAAAAGACACCTGCCATTAACCCTGTCTATATCCCTCATGATTTTATAAACCTCTATATGGTTGCCCCTTAACCTTTTACTCTCCAATGAAAAGAGTCCCAGCCTATCCAGCCTCTCCTTATAACTCAAACCCTGTATTCCTGGCAACATCCTGGTAAATCTCTTCTGAACCCTCTCCAGCCTAATGATATCCTTCGTATAACAAGGTGACCAGAACTGGACACAGTGCTCCAGAAGAGGCCTCACCAACGTTCTGTACAACTTCGACATGACTTCCCAGTTCCTATACATACAGGTCTGTGCAATGAAGACATGCATGCTAAATGCCTTCTTAATCACCTTGTCTACATAGGATGCAAACTTCAAAGGATTATGGATCTGAACCCCTAGATCTCTGTTCTACAAATCAGCTCAGGGCCCTGCCATTAATTGTATATCTCCTGCCCTAGTTTGTTTTACCAAAATACAATACCTCGCAATTATCTGAATTAAACTCCATCTGACACTCCTCAGCCCATTGACCCAATTTGTCAAGATCTCTTTGTAATCTTAGATAACCTTCTTCACTGCTCACTGTCATCCACAAACTAACCATTACTAACTATGCCTTCCGTATTCTCATCTAAATCATTTATTTAAATGACAAACAAAAGTGGACCAGGCACCAATCCATATGGAACACTGCTGGTGACAATCTCTAGTCCAAAAAATAACCCATCACAACCATTCTCTGTCTCCTGCCTTTAATCGAATTTTGTATCCCATTGGCAAGCCACTATTCAATCATGGCTGATAACCCCATTCTCCCGCTTTCTCCCCGTAACCTTTGATCCCCTTGACAATCAAGAATCTATCTCACTCCGTCTTAAATATACTCAATGGTCTGGCCTCCACAGCCTTCTGTGGCAGTGAATCCCATAGATTCACCACTCTCTGGCTGAAGAAGTTTCTCCTTATCTCTCTTCTAAGAGGTCTTCCCTTTACTCTACTGTCCTCAGGTCCTCGTCTCTCCGCCCAATGGAAATATCTTTCCAACATCCGCTCTGTCCAGTATTCTGTAAATTTCAGTTAGATCCCTCTTCATCCTCATAAACTCCATCAAGTATAGACCCAGAGTCCTCAAACGTTCTTCATATGTTAAGCTTTTCATTCCTGGGACCATTCTCGTGAACCTCCTCTGAACCCACTCCAGGGCCAATACATCCTTCCTGAGATATGAGGCCCAAAACTGGGCACAATACTCCAAGTGTGACCTGACCAGAGCCTTATAGAGAGTCAGAAGTACATCACTGCTTTTATATTCAAGTCCTCTCAAAATAAATGCCAAAGTTGCACTTGCCTTCCTAACGACTGACTCAACCTGCAAGTTTACCTTGAGAGAATCCTGGACTAAAACTCGCAAGTCTCTTTGCACTTCAGACTTCTGAATTTTTTCCCCATTTAGAAAATTGTCCATGCTTTTATTCTTCTTAACAAAGTGCATGACCTCACACTTTCCCACGTTGTACTCCATCTGCCATTTCTTTGCCCACTCTCCGAACCTGTCCAAATCCTTCTGCAGCCTCCCCACATCCTCAATACTACTCTCTCTATCTATCTTTGTATCATCTGCAAACTTAGCCAGAATGCCCTCAGTTCCTTCATCTAGATCATCAACACATAAAGTGAAAAATTGTGTCCCAACACTGACCCTTGTGGAACCCCACTTGTCACCGGTTGCCATCCTGAGAAGTACGCATTTATCCCCACTTTCTGCTTCCTGCCAGACGGCCAATCTTCTATCCATGCTAGAGCCTTGCCTCTAACACCGTGGACCCTTATCTTACTCAGCAGCCCCCTGTGTGGCACCTTGTCAAAGGCCTTCTTGAAGTCCAGGTAGATAACATCTATTGGCTCTCCTTGGTCTAACCTGCTCATTATTTCCTCAAAGAATTCTAACAGATTTGTCAGGAATGACCTCCCCTTGATGAAGCCATGTTGACTTTGCCCTATTTTACCATGCACTTCCAAGTATTCGGAAATTTCATCCTTCACAATGGACTCTAAAATCTTACTCACGAACCGAGGTTAGGCTAATCGGCCTGCAATTTTCAGTCTTTTGCCTTGCTCCCTTTTTAAACAGTGGTATCATGTTAGCAATTTTCCAGTGCTCTGGGACCCTCCCTGACTCTCGTGATTCCTGAAAGATCACCACCAACGCTTCCACTATCTCTTCAGCTATCTCCTTAAGAACTCTGGGATGTAGTCCATCTGATCCTGGATATTTATCCAACTTCGGGCCATTCAATTTTTCTAGCACCTTCTCCTTGGTGATGGCCACCATACTCAATTCTGTCCCCTGACTGTCTTGAATTTTTGGAGTATTACTCGTGTCTTCCATTGTGAAGACTGATGCAAAGTATTTCAGTTCCTCACACATTTCCTTGTTCCCCACTACTATCTCTCCAGTTTCATTTTCCAGTGGTCCAATGTCCACTTTTGCCTCTCTTTTGCCCTTTATATATCTAAAGAAACCCTTACAGTCCTCCTTTATATTACTGGCTAGCTTGCCCTCATATTTAATCTTCTCCCTCCTTATTTCTTTTTTGTTGCCCTCTGTTGGTCTTTGTAAGCTTCCTAATCCTCTGGTTTCCCACTGCCCTTCCCCACAATATATGCTTTCTCTTTTGCTTTTATGCTATCCCTGACTTCCCTAGTCAGCCATGGTTGCCTCATTGTTCCTGTACCATGCTTCTTTTTCCAAGGAATGAATTTTTGCTGTGACTCCTGAATTAGTCCTCGAAACTCTTGCCATTACTGTTCCACTGTCTTTCCTGCCAGGGTCCTCTCCCAGTCCATTCTGCCCAGCTCCTCCCTCATGCCTCTGTAGTTGCCTTTATTCAGCTGTAATACCATTACCTCTGATTCTAACTTCTCCCTCTCAAATTCAATCATATTATGATCACTGCCTCCTAAAGTTTCCTTCACCTTAAGCACCCTTATCAAGTCTGCCTCATTGCACAACACTAAATCCAGTATTGTCTGTTCCCTAGTGTGCTCCACCACAAGCTGCTCCAAAAAGCCATCTCTTAGACATTTCACAAAATCCTTTTCTTGCAATCCACTCCCAATATGATTTTCCCAGTCCACCTGCATATTGAAGTACCCATGATCACCGTAACTTAGCCTTTCTTACACACCTTTTGTATCTCATGGTGTATCTTGCACCCTAGATCCTGCCTATTGTTTGGAGGCCTGTACATAATTCCAACAATGTCTTTTTTTACCTCTGCGGTGCCGCAACTCTACCCAAACAGATTCTACACTATCTGACCCTACTTCATTTCTTACTATTGATTTAATTTCATTTTTTACTAATAAGGCAACCCCACCCCCTCTGCCCAACTGCCTATCTTTTTGATAAGGTGTATATTCAGCTCCCAATCCTGATCCCCTTGCAGCCTGTGATGTCCACCACATCATATCTGCCAATTTCGACATGCGTCACAAGTTCATTTACCTTCTTTCTCATACAGCGTGCATTCATAGATAACACTCTCAGTCCTGGATTAACCGTCCCACTTCTCATTGTCACTCGTTTATCCAGTGTGCTTGAAGTTTGATTCCTAATCTTTTCCAAATATTCTGTCCTATTTGTGTCTGTGCTGGAGATTTACCTCGCCTGAGTTCTCCTTTCCAGATATTTTTTTCATATTTTTCTACCCCTACAGATGTTAACCTGCTGCTTTGTTCCCCACTGGGGGAATTTTTACCCTTGCCTTCCCCCCACTTTCTAATTTAAAATCCTGTTGACCAGCCTTTTTACCCTTTTTGCGACAACATTGGTCCCAGCTTGGTTCAGGTGTAGGCTGTCCCAACGGTACAGATGCCAGTGCCCTATGAAAAGGAACACCTCTTTCCCACACCACTCTTTTAGCCACGTGTTTACTTCCCTCATTCTCTTGACCCTAAGCCAATGTGCTTGTGGCTCAGGCAGTAATCTGAAGATTATAACCTTTGAGGACCTGCTCTTTCATTTCGTTCCAAGCTCTTGATAATCCCTGAAAAGTCCTTTTTTCTAGTCTTGCCTATGTTGTTTGTTCCAATGTGGACCACAACAACTGGACCTTCCCCCTCCCTCTCCAATATCCTTTCAAGCCGTTCAGAGATATCCCTTACCCTGCCACCAGGCAGGCAACACCATGCGAGACTCTCGATCCTGCTTACAAAGGATACTATCTATTCCCCTGATTATAGAAACCCCTACAACTACCACTTGTCTTTTTGCTCCCCTGTCTTGGATGGGCTCCTGTGCCACAGTGCAATGGATGAGGCTGGATAGGCTTGGAACATTTTCTGCTGGAGCATAGGAGGTTAAGAGGTAACCTTATAGACATTTATAAAATCATAAAGGATATAGATGAATGCTGTCTAGGGTAGGGCATTTCAAGACTAGGGCCCATATATTTAGGGTGACAGGAGGGGAATTTTTTTTACGTAGAGTGGTTCGTGTGTGTGGAATGAACTTCCAGAGGAAGCAGTGAATGTTAGTACAGTTACAATGTTTAACAGACATTTAGATGAGTACATGAATAAGAAATGTTTAGTGGGATATGGGCCAAGCACAGGCAGGTGGGATTAGTTTAGTTTGGGATTATGGTCAGCATGGACTGGTTGGACCAAAGGGTCTGTTTCAGTGCTGTATGACTCGATGAAGTTTTACATATATCGTGGATATATCATATTTTAGTATTTTTATAACAAAATATTTAAATGTTTTATCCAGGATGAGTGGTTGATTCTTAATTTCTATTTACCTTCACAGAGCCAATCTCCTCTGTGTCTATTACATCCAATGTTTCAGAAGCAGTGAACGAGAATGACACAGTTATCCTGAGGTGCCATGTACTTGGAAATTGGACTGACATAATTTGGATCTTCAATGGGAGTCTTGTCAACAGCAATGGGGAGATAAAGCTTTCCTCAGAAAAGGCCACATTGATGATAATTAATGTTGGCACAAGCCATATCGGCAGCTATCAATGTATTGCACAGAGCCCTGTGAGTGAAAAAGCAAGCGAGGCTTACTTCTTGAAATTGGACAGTGAGTATAGTGTATTCAGATTGATTCACAGTGAACAGTGCACTAATGTTTGTCTGCAATGGTCTCTGGTACAGTTTACTTTGTTACAGGCTCTTATGTTCACAGTTTTGTTATGAGGAGAGATTACAAAACATTGGTGAGGCCACATTTGGAGTGCTGCGTACAATTTTGGTCGCCCTGCTTTAGGAATGATGTTATTAAACTGGAAAGGGTGCAAAAAAGATTTACAAGGATGTTCCCGAGATTGGAGAGTTTGAGTTATAAGGAGAGATTAGATAGCCTGGGACTTCTTTCGCTGGGATATCAGAGGCTGAAGGATGATCTTAGGGAGGTTTATAAAATCATCAGGAGCATGGATAGGGTGAATAGCCAAGGTATTTTTCTAGGGTGTGGGAGTCCAAAACTAGAGGTTTAAGGTGAGAAGGGAAAGATTTTAAAAAGTGATTGGATCAGATTGGGATGCCTGGCTGGCACGGATGGGCTGGACCCAAGGTTCTGTTTCGATGCTGTATGACTTTGTGACTCTATAATTGCCACTTGATAGCACTGTCACAATATGCCACCTTGCTGGTGATGGGGAGGAGGTTAGATTTGTTCTGCTTTTGGTACATTTACTCAATTTTTCACATTTCTAGGTAAATACCAGTGTTGTACCCATTGGGGAAAATGGGACCAAGCAAGATCCTACTCCGAATGGATAATCCTGTGCAGTAACCACGTGATCTCACCATCAATGTTCAACAGGCCACTTGAAAGTAAGCAAAAGCAATGAGGATGCTGACTTAAACCCCTTTTTTTGTTTTGTAGCTTTCACCCAGTCAGATAACTGCAGCAGTAACGAATGGAAAGCTGCTATTGTGGTTTTGGCTGTCACCTCCATCACAGAGCTCATGGCTATCGCTGTCTTACTCTTCAAAATCCAGAAAATGTCTCGGACACAAACAGGTATGTTCATAGGGTGACAAAACTCGATTTATTCCCAAACAGAGACCATCGCAGATGGTGTCAACACGGCTGTCACAATGGGTTATCAGTGAGGGAGTAAAGGAATTATGAGTGGACTGGATACAGTAAAGAGGGAGGAGTTGTTCATGCACATGAAAGGAATATGAGTCAGGGCCTGTAGGTTTCAAGTGATGTGCAAAGCAAGGGTGATGTGAGGAAAAGACCTTTTTTCACCCAGCGAGCTGTTAAGAGTGTGGAATGCAATGTCTGGAAATGTGTTGGAGGCAGGTTCAATGGAGGCACTAAAGAAGGATATTGGATGGCTATTTGGTGTGCAAGGGGAGATGCGGTAAAAAGCAGGAAATTGGCACTTGGGGATTAGAACCAGGCCACACACAATGGGCCAAATAGTTCATTTCTGCTCCGTAACAATTCTGTGAGGATACTCATCTGTGGGGATAATTTAATTCGCCCATCTGTTAAATACCACCATGCTCAATTTTGTAAATTTTTCCATTGAAGGTTTTTTTTGTTGTTCAGTAATTCTAGAGAAGTAATGCACTGTTGAACAAATGAAAATAGGGGCAGTTATTATATGTATTTGATTGAACAACTTTATGAAAAAGATACATTACATCTATTCAAAAATAACTAGAATATGTCTGCCTTAAGTATATATCCTTGATGACAGGAGTAACAGCTCCTGTTAAAAGTTTCTGTGGAAAAATGAGTTGATTTATCCTGCATCTGATGGATGGTAGCCTTTACTTTGAACACAGCGGGGGGCAAAACTGAGACAAGACAGGAAATCTCATTATCTATGACACTTGCTTCAAAATTTTTTGAGAGCAGCGTTTGCCAAGGAAGGTGAGCTCAGCAAATCCTCCAGTCAGAGCAAAATACTGTGGATGTTGGAAACCTGAACTGGAAACAGAGAATGTTGGAATAATCTCAGCAGGTATAATAGAAAGGAACAGAGTTAACGTTTTGAGTCTAGTATGACTTTTCTTCAGAGCTGACAGATTTCCAACCATTTTCCAACATCTTTCAGCTCTCAAGAAGAGCCGTTCTGGATTCGAGAAGTTAAATGCTTCTCTCTTTCTCTCACACACACAGATGCTGCCAGACCTGCAGAGTTTCACTGGCATTCTGTGCATGTATTTCATTAAATTCTCTACCTACCTGGTTTAGTCACCTCTGTTGCTGCATTGATTTCAGGAAGATACATTCTACCTACAGTGAGTGGTACCATCAGCATGCCAACCTATGAAAACCTCATGCCATCAGAAAATGATGAGGTAAGTGCTCATTTTAAGGCTACTGTTATTTGTATCAGTTAAACAAGAGATGTTGCAATTGCAGTAATTTTTTAAACCAAAAAAAAAACCGAGAGAACTCTTGAGAAATTGTTTCCAGTAGCAGGAAATTCAGTGATGAGTTGAAAAGTTTCAAATAATTGGAAAGAAATTGGAGGATGGGTAATTATTACTAGATTCAGATTGTCAATTCTGACCTGTGAATCACTGTTTCAAATGTGACCATGATGTGGCTTTAAGAGGTGTATTTTGTCCTGGTTTTTTTTTTAAGAGAGATTGACTGAGAAATAATGAGCAGTCTGTGGTAATGTAAACAATGTGTAAATTCTTGGGGTTTTTTTGGAACAATAGAAGCTGCCTGGATGGGTGTAGCCAGCTCTCACTGACCAGGATTTCCAGTCTTCTTTTTTGGCTTTTTGACTAAGTAGAAGCAGTTGGAGCTTTGGAGAAATAGAAGCTATATTTCTCTGTTACAGCTAGAAGCTGGGTTTCTCTTCCTATTGCTGGCATTGCATGTGAAAAAAATCTGATTTCTGAATTTGCTTTTTCAACAAAGGGTGTGTTTATGGGACGTCACTACATTGGAACAGTTAATTAGTAATCATTACTCTATCTGTTATTCTAAGATTTCCAAAAGAGTTGTTATTCTAAGTTTTTCCTTCTTTTGTTTTATTTTATCCATAGCGTTTGAATAAATTGCATTTTGCTTAACGTCGAGTAATTTGACCAATCAAATTGTATCAGGAGCACAGCACTTTATATTTGTCTTTAAAATAAGAAAAAGTTAGGGTCTAGGCTACCTTCTTAATATATTTTGAGGGGGTCTGGTATGGTCCATAACACAAAGGGTAGGTGAAGCAAACGGAATTGTATCAGTCAATAAAGAATCTAAACATCTCCCATTGGCATTCATTACTGTCACTGAATCCCATACTATCAACAGCCTAGGGCTCACCATTGACCAGCCACTGAACTGGACTAGTCGTATAAATACTGTGGCTACAAGATCAGGTAAGGGATTGGGAATCCTGTAGCGAGTAGCTCACCTCCTGACTCCCCGAAGCCTGTCCACCATCTAAAAAGGCACAAATCAGAAGTGTGATGGAATACTCCCCACTTGCCTGGATATGTGCAGCTCCAACGATACTCCAGAAGCTCAACACCATCCAGTTGTACAGCATGGAAACAGACCCTTCGATCCAACCAGTCCATGCTGACCAAACTGAGCTAATCCCAACGACTGCGTTTGGCCCATATCCCTCCAAACCTTAGATAACAAGGTGTAGAGCTGAATGAACACAGCAGGCCAAGCAGCATCATAGGAGCAGGAAGCCCTCTACACCTTGTTATCTCAGATTCTCCAGCATCTGCAGTTCCTACTCCCTCCAAACCTTTCCTGTTCATGAAGTTATCCAAATGCCTTTTAGACATTTTAAAAGTACCTGTATCACCACTTTCTCTGGCAGGTCATTCCACACATGAACTATTATCTGTATAAAAAGGTTGCCCCTCATGTCCTTTTCAAATCTTTCTTCTCTCATCTTAAAAATATTCCCCCCTGTTTCGAACTCCCCCAACTTCGGGAAAAGACTCTTGTCATTCATGTTATCCATGCCCCTCATGATTTTATAAACCTCAACCTCCCACATCCCAGCCTTTCCAGTCTATTTTTATATATGTCAAACCCTCCATTCCTAGCAACATCCTAGTAAATCATTTCTGAACGCTCTCCAGTTTAATAATATTCTTCCTATAACAGGGCGACAGAACTGCACACAGTACTGCAGAAGATGTGTGTTGTTGAACTCTTATGATGTACATCTCATTGTCTTGCATGGGTTGGGGATTGGGTGGACTAGGGCAAGGGCTAGTTTGCAGGGCACCTCCAACTGTATGGGATGGAGTTAGCCATTGAATGGAATAGGTGCCAGACGTATTCTTAATGCGAAAATCCAACAAAGCAATAGCAGTCCTTTCATTTCAGCATTGTTAATGCTCAGGATATTTAAATTATAGAACGAAAGGTCCCAAGGGACATTCCCGAGACTATTACAACTCTTATGCTTGAAATTTTTATATCCCTCTCCACCCCACCACCCCATGAATGTACTTGATTCTTTAAACTTGTAAAACAAAACATTGATTTAAAAATTACAGTCAGTAAGAGGGGGCTTGGTGGTTCAGTAGTCACAGCACCAGGGACCTAGGTTCGATTCCACCCTCGGCAACTGTCTGTGTGGGTTTCCTCCTGGTGCACTGGTTTCCTCCCACAGTCCAAAGATGTACAAGCTAGGTGCATTAGCCATAGAAAATACAGGGACAGGGTAGTGGGGTGGGTTTGGGTGGGATGCCCTTCAGAGGGCTGATGTGGATTCAATGGGCCAAATGACCTGCTTCCACACTGCAGGGATTCTATGAAAATAAACAACAACATGTCTCAATGCAGCATGTTACACTTTGAGATGCTTCAATACAATTGTTATACTTTCAACATTTAATATATCAATTATCTTTACAGAAGGAACATGGAGATCAGGATCAGACCGATTCGACCTACACAGTATGTTTCTCTGTATTTCAATCATTTCAGACACTTTTACTGTTGAAACTGATATGAATTAGCTTTGGTATCTTTTTCCTCAAGGATCTACAGCTCAGTGACACATCAGTCTATGAACAGTTGGAAAGGTACGTTTAGCTTTGTGACTCCTGAATAATGGATTCAGATTTTTAGTGAAGTGTAACTAAGTTCGACTTGCCCCAGGGCTTAACACTCACTTTCAAATTGATCGCAATGAATGTTGGGTATTTACTCGACCAATTTCATTGTGGTATAGATCAAAATAACATTTACAGTCATAGACTGATAGAGTTTTACAGCACAGAAACAGGCCTTTCAGTCCAACTCATCCATGGTGACCAGATTTCCTAAATTTATCTAGTCCCACTTGCCAACATTTGGCTCATATCCCTCTAAACTCTTCTAATTCATATACCCATCCAATTACCTTTTAAATGTTGCAATTGTACCTGCCTCCATCACTTCCTCTGGCAGCTCATCTCATACACGCATCACCCTCTGCGTGAAAACTTTGCCCCTTAGGTCCCTTTTAAATCTTTCCCCTCTCACCTTAAACCTATGCTCTCTAGTTTTGGACTCCCCTATCCTGGGGAAAAGACTTTGGCTCCTCATGATTTTATAAACCTCTATAAGGTCACCCCTCGGCTTCTGACGTTCCAGGGAAAATAGCCCCAGTCTATTCAGCTTCTCCCTATAGCTCCAACCATGGCAACATTCTTGTAAATATTTTGTGAACCTTTTCAAGTTTCACAACATCATTCCTAGAGTAGGGAGGCCAAAATTTAATGCAGTATTCCAAGAATGGCCTTATTTGGATATTCGGATAAAATGAAACAAGGAACTGCGATTGCCGGAAATCTGAAACAAGCAAAAACGAAATGGCTCAAGAAATTCAACTGGTCTGGTAGCATCTGCGGAGAGAAAGTAGAGTTGGGCTGAAAAATTGCATACGGAGCTCAATTTGGATAAATGCAAGGATAGGGCTTATACAATTAATGGTAGGGCCTTGTGTAGTGTTGTAGAACAGAGGGATGTAGGGTTGCAAATACATAATTCTTTGAAGTTTGCATCACATGTCAGCAAGGTGGTTAAAAAGGCATTTGGCACGCTTGCCTTCATTGCTCAGTCTTTTCAGTATAGGAGTTGGATGGTCATGTTGAGACTGTACAAGATATTGGTGAGGCCTTTTCTGAAATACTGTGTCCAGTTCTGGTCGTCCAGTCTTAGGAAGAATATTATCAAGCTGCAGAGGCATCAGAAGAGATTTACCAGGATGTTGCTGACAATGAAAGTGTTGAGATATAAAGAAAAGCTGGATAGGCTGGGACTTTTTGTCACTGGAGCATAGGAGATTAAGGGGTGACCTTATCGAAGTTTATAAAATAATGAGGGGCAGAGGTTGAGTTAACTGTAGTTGCCTTTTCCCTAGGATGGGGGATTTCAAGACTAGGGGGCACATTTTTAAGGTGAGAGGAGAGAGATTTAAAAAGACATGAGGGTAATTTTTTTACACAGAGGGTGGTTTGCTTGTGGAATGAACTTCCTCAGGAAGTAGTGGATGTGGGAACAATTACAAAATACAAGATACATTTGGATATTGGATAGGAAAGGTTTGGGGGATATGGGCCAAGTACAGATGGTGGGAGTAGTTTAGTTTGGGATTATGATCGGCATGGACTGGTTGAACCAAAGAGTCTGTTTCCATGTTTTATGACTCTATCCCTCTATTAATCTCTCAAATCCAGTAAGCCTTCTTCTGAATGGTCTGTTCAGAGGAACTGGGGGACTGTATACACTTCTTGTCACCTCATTGTAGGAAGGATGTGATTGCCCAGGATGAGTGCATTCACCAGAATGTCACAGTTTAGCTATGAAGAGAGGCTGGATAAAGTCGGGTTGTGTTCTTTGGAGCAGAGAAGGTTGAGGGGTGACCTGTTAGAGATGTGGAAAGAAATCATTCAGTCAATCAAGTCTGCACCAACCTCCAAAAAGCATCCCAGCCCTATATAGCTCCAGTCCTCCAAGCTATCCTTGCAAGCCCACATTTCCCATGGCTAATCCACACAGCCTGCACATCCCTGGTCACTGTAGCCAATTTAGCATGGCCAATCCATCTAACCTGCACATCTTTGGACAGTGGGAGGAAATCAGAGTCCCCAGAGGAAACCCACACAGACACGGTAAAAACATGCAAACTTCACAAAGACAGCCATCCAAGGCTGGAATCGAACCTGGCTCCATGGCACTGTGAGGTAGCAGTGTTAACCACTGAGTCACTGTGCTGCCCAAGGGGTGTATATGATTAAGAGGGGCATGGACAAGGTGGACAGGAAGCAACTGCCTCCCTTAGTTGAAGGGTCAATAACAAGCAGGCATCATTTTAAGATGAAGGGCAGGAGATTTTGAAGGGATTGAGGAAATGTTTTTTATCTCTCGGGTGATGGGGGGCCTGGAATCCCTTGCCTGGGTGGGTAGTAGAGGTGGGAAACCTCACAACCTGTAAAAAGTACTTGGACATGCACTTGGAATGCTTAACATTCAAAGCCTATGGGCCAAGTGCCGGAAATTGGGATTAGTGCAGATCGGTGATGGGTTCTCATTTGGTAGGTAGAGACCTGGTGGACTGAAGGGCCTGATCTGTTCTGTACATCTCTATCAACCACCCCAGATCGATGTAGGCTGAGGAAACTTGGCAACAACACAAAAGCACTCACTCCTTAAGCCCTATTTAGCCCTAATGGTGCAAAACCATGAAGTTGCAGATTATATTGGGGTACAATTCTGCCTCTGCTACTGACCCACAGTGCCTTATGAATGCCCAGTTTTGAGTTGCTGAATGTGTGTAAAGTTATCTCATTTGTCACATTGGTGATGCCATCCATCTTCATGGAGGATATCCTCAATGTTAAGACAGGACCTTGTCTCCAATACAATCATGGATGGACGCACCTTAGGCATGCAGTTTGTTGAGGGTGAGGTTAATATATTTGTTCCGTTTATTGGTTTCTACAGTATCTGCTGCCGACTTAGTCTAGCAGCTTTGTCCTTTAGGAATTAATTATATTTGTGCTGCCGAGCCAATGTTGATCGATATTGAACTCCTCCACCCAGTGTATACTCTGCACCCTTTCCCCACACTCAGTGCTCCCTCCAAGTGGTGTTCAACATGGAGGGGTACTGATCCATCAGCTGAGGGAGGGTAACCAGCAGGAGGTTTCCTTACTCGTGTTAGACCCGATGTCATGAAATTGTATGGGATCCAGACTCAATGTTGAGGACTCCTAGGGCAACTCCCTCCCAACTATATCTCATTGTGCCGCCACCTCTGCTGGTCCTATCCTTATACCTGGGGATGGTGATATTGGTGGCTGGGACATCATCTGTAAGCTATGATTCTCTGAGCATGACTGTGTTAGGCCACCACTTGATGAATATGTGAGACAGCTCTCCCAATTTCAGGCACTAGCCCCCCCGATGTTAATAAGGCAACCTTTGCAGGGTCAGTAGGGCTGTGTTTGCCATTGTAAATTATAAATTTATTTACATAGAATATAGGAGTTGGAGTAGGCCGTTCAGCCCATTGAGCCTGCTCCAGCATTCATTTTGATCATGTTTGATCATCCAACTCAATAGCCTATTCCTCTTTTCTCCTGATATTTAAATGCCATAAGTTGCTTACAGTGTGTCATATCTTTTTACATGTTGTCCGAATTCACCTCAGCCAGTTTGTCCATCATCCTTCACTCTTTCCTTTGTTCCAATTTAACACCCTGGCTTCTAATTGAACAGCTTCACATTGAAAGAGAATGTAAAATTCTATCATATTATAGTCAGTCATTCGCAAAGGTTCTTTTGCAACAACATTATTAACTGGCACTTTATCATTACATAATATTAGATCTCAAGTAGCTTGTTAATACACTGCTCCAGAAAACCATATCTAACACAGTCCTGAAACTCATACCTGACAGCATTAACACTGATGAGGATTACCCAAGTCTATAGGCAAACTGATATCATCCCTGACTACTGTGTTACCAGTGCTACATACTGCACTAATCTCTTCATTAATACCGTGCCCCACGGAACCTCTGCTGTTATGCAAATCCTGCCAATTTTTTTTTCAAAATACCATGTCTTTTTATTTTTAGCTGATGACTGAAAATCAGAAAAATGGATGCTGCTATAAAAATAAAGGTTTGCAAATAGTTTCCAATTTGAAAAGAAAACAAGTAAGCTAAGTGATGCATATAAGACAATGCTATGTTTTTGGAGACAGTGGGTCCAAGCAAATTGGCCCTATCTGTTGTGGGTTCAGGGAAGCTCAACATAGTAACAGCTTTCTGATTGGTCCAGCTGCAGCTTAGGACAGACCCCGTGAGTGAAATACAAATGGAAACCTCTGAGAGCTGAGTCTGTACCAGTCTTTTCTGCGTGATCCCTCCTACTCGCTGTTGGTAAAAGAAAAACTACATTCAGAGACACTGAAAGAAAGAATTCTGAAATATAAAGGGGAAAGGAAAGATGTCGGGTCCAACCAATCAACCAGTGAAGTGAGGACTGTCCATCACTTTGCAGACAACGTCGATAAGAATCAAGAGGATTGTGAGAATGGCTTATTCTACTTTAGCAGTTTGTACTAGTGATACAGAACCACTTTTTTCCACTGCCTATGAACTCCTTATCCCCGCCATCCTCAGTATTTGTGACAAACTCTTTGTCTCCTGTGTTTTTTTTTGTGAATGAGGGATAAAAGGTGTATAGCTAATGTTTAATACTAGTTTAGTAATTAATACATAATTGTTATTTTATTAAAGTGTATATATTTATTATAAATAGAATTACTTATTCCATTCATGGTGAAAGTGATGTATTCTGTTTTGGTTCCAAATTGCACTAAATTGATTTGTGAGACCTAACTGGATTTAAACACGTCTGTCACAAGTGGGACACAATAAGAGCTCACTATTTCCAAGTGGGTCATGACAGTTTGTCACCTCCTGCTGCTTTTTAGTTCCAACCCAAACAGATTCCACAGATTGTTCTCCCAATCCGTGATGTTCCCTTGCTAATGTAATGATGCTCTCCTTTATTATCAGCTCAGCGTTACTTCTTTCCCCGTTTTGCCTGTCCTTTCTAAACATTGAATATCCTTGGCTATTCAGTTCCTAGTCTTGATCACATTGGAGCCAGGTTTCAATCATGGCATTTGCTTCTGTTTATTTGCTTTGGTTTCTGTTGGGTCATCCAACATCTTGCACAAGTTGCTTACTCTCAGGTAAGACTGGCTCTTACATTTCTGCTTTCTGAAATTCTTCTGCATTGTAATGTTAGTCGATGCCTGTCTTCATTTTGGCTGCCACTTTCATATTCCACTTCATCCCTTCCTGTTAACAGATTTGCCTCCTTCCAATTTGGAGCTCTCCCTCAGATTCCCATTCTCATGCTAAGTGAGTTTAAACCCTCTCTCTTGGGAATTTCAAATCTCTCCACGAGGATATTGGTCCTAGTCCTGTTAAAGTGGAACCTCATCCAGCTTGGACAGGCCCCACCTGCTCCACGACAGTTCCCACCTGTGCCACAACAGGTCCCATTTTTCTTTTTTTTTCTTTTTAAGATTTTTCTCTTCTTTCTACCCAGAAAAGTTATCACACATAATGGAGCGGCCTTCCCACCAGTAAAATCACCGTGACTTATTAAAAATTAAACCTACCACCACTGGTCAAACACCCCTTGTAACCAATTGAATGTTCACAAGCAAAGCTCATTACAGGCAATGCCAACCATCGAATGTGAAGGGGTGTACAGGGAGAGGGAAGGGGCAAAATCAAAATAGAGTTGGAGGGGGAAATAGAGCACTGTATCCCCAGGGTGCCCACCTCTCTCTTATGGCATCGAGAGGGTTGGTGGTCACCGTGTGCTCCCTCTCCAATGACATCTGGGCACATATGTAACATAGACGAGGGCCAGGCAGAGATGGCCCCCTCCACTGTCTGCTGCCTGGACCTGTTTATAGCCAGCCCGGCCAAGCAAGAAGCAGAACCACAAGGAAGCTCTCCAATCTGCCCACACTGCTCCATACCGGGTGCACAAAGTTCAGGAGCATGGGGCTGAATTGCAAACAAAGACATAACAGAAGGTTTATCCAAAACAAAAACTAAAAAGGGAGTGCAAACGCCCACAACCAATATTTTCATGGTCCATGGACACCGCAGCGTTGCAACAGAACTGGTCCCAATACCTCAGAAACCTGATGCTCTCCCTCGTACACCAATTGCCCAGTCATAGCTTCAAATTGATTAATTATTTTATTCCCAAAAAAAACCAAAAAAACTGCGGTTGCTATAAATCTGAAACAAAAACAAAGTTGCTGGAAAAGCTCAGCAGGTCTGGCAGCATCTGTGAAGGAGAAAACAGAGTTAACGTTTCGGTTCCGGTGACCCTTCCTCAGAACTGATGGTGGCTGGGAAAACGAAACGTTAACTCTGTTCTCTCCTTCACAGATGCTGCCAGACCCGCCGAGCTTTTCCAGCAACTTTGTCTTTGTTCCTGTATTTTATTCCCATGCTGCCAGCAGGTGGCGCTGGTAACAGCCTGTGATGACTGCTTTTGAGATTCTACTTTTCAAATTTCCTTCCTCACTCACAGAAAACTTCGGCTTCCAGAACATGTTCCCTCTTCCCTCTTCCATTGTTGGTGTCAGCGACCTCTGGTTGTTCACGACACCCACCCCATAGGATGCCCAGCATTCTTCCATGACATCATTGTCCTCCATGGCAACACGCCATCCTGAAGACATTTTATTGCTGGAATTATCCCCGTCCCATCCTTTGACGAATGGAATCCCTGAACATTATTGATTTCCTTCCTCTCCTCCCGTACAGTTGAGTCATCTGTGATGCCATGTACTTAGCCTGTCTCACTCACCTTTGCTCTCAAGAGCATCCAAAATGGAAAACTAGGTAACAAGCAGGATTGACTCAGAAGAGTCCTCTGTTATTTTACTTCTTCTCTCAGAGTGGCTGGTGGTCACCCATTCCCTCTCCCCTTCGTGCTCCTAAACCGGGCTGTGTCCACCTCTCTAAACTCTTCATTCATGTAGCCCTGCGGATACAGAAGTGACTCCAATCACTGCACAAGTTCCAGAGTCTGGAGGCCAGACTTCTACAGACAGTGGCCCTTCTCAGTTCAGAGGAAGTTCAATTTATTCTAGAGACTGAAAGGTTTGTCTTAGGAGGAGAGATTGAGCAGTTTAGGCCTATACTGTCAAGAGTTTAGAAGGATTAGAGGAGATCTATTTGGGGTATAGAAGATTCTAAAGGGGATAGACAAGTAGATGTAGAGGGGATGCATCGCCTTGTGGGGCAATCATAACAAGAGGTCATAGTGTCAGAGTAAGAGGTGGCAGATTTAAAACAGAGATGAAGAGGAATCAATTTTTTCAAAGGGTCATGAATTTGAGAAATTCGCTATCCCAGAGTGCGATTGTTGGCGGGAAACTGGATAAATTTAAGGAGGAGATAGACTGATTTTTAATGAGTATAGGGTTAAAGGGGAGCAAGCAGGAAAGTAGAGTTGAGGCCAAGGTGAGATCAGCCATGGTCATATTCAGTAGCAGAACAAGCTTGCACAGCTGAATGGTCTACTCTTGCTCCTCAGGGATCAGTGCTGGCACCTCTGCTGTTCATGATCTACATGAACGATTTGGAGGAAAACGTAACTGATCTAATTAGTAAGTTTGCAGTCGATACAAAGATTGGTAGAGCTGCAGAAGTGAGGAGGATTGTTAGAGGATACAGCAGGATATAGATCAGTTGGAGGCATGGGCAGAAAAATGGCAGATGGAGTTTAATCCAGGCAAATGTGAGGTGATGTATTTTGGAAGGTCAAGTAAAGTTGGAAATTATACAGTAAATGGCAGAAGTACAGATATAGGAGTATAGATGAGCAGGGGAATCTATGTGTGCAGGTCCAGAGATCACTGAAGGTGGCAGCACAGGTGGATAGGACAGTAAAAACGGTTGATGGCATGCTTGCTTTCATCGGAAGGGGCATTGAGTATAAGGATACACAAGTTATGCTGCAGCTTTATAGCATGTTAATTAAGCCATACTTGGAAGATTGCATACAGTTCTACCACACTACCAGAGGTTTGGAGAGGGTGCAGAAAAGGTTTACCAGGATGTTGCCTGGTTTGGGGGATTTTAGCTACAAAGAAAGGTTGGGTAAACTGGGTTTGTTTTCACTGGACATCAGGAGGTTGAGAGCGATAGAAGTTTGTAAGATTGTGAATGGCATGGATAGAGTGGAAGGTATGAGGCTTTTTTCCCCAGGGTGGAGGGGTCAATTACTAGAGGACACAGGTGCTGGGGGAGGGGGAAGTTTGAAAGAGATATGCGAGGCAAATTTTTGATCATGGCTGATCTGTGGCCAACTCCATATACCTGCCTTTGGCCCATATCCCTTAATACCTTCGCTTAAAAAACATTTATCCATCTCAGATTTAAAAGGAACAATTGATCCAGTATTGACTACCATTTGTGGAAGAGTTTCAAACATTGACCATCCTTTGTAGACTTTCTTGAAAGACATCGATTAATACAGGCCCTTTGCCCTTCCTACGTTTATGTCAACCCACAAACACCAAATGACACAAATCCCATTTACCTGCACCTGGTCCATAGCCTATGATTCCCTGGCATTTTAAGAGCTCATCCAGAAGCTTCCCAAATGTTGTGAGACCACCTGCCTCCATCACCCTCTCAGGCAGCAAATTTCTACCACCTCTGGATGAAAAATATTTTTCTCAGATCTCTAAACCACTTCCTCCTTACCTTAAACTTGTGCCCTCTGGTCTTAGACACTCTGCCATGGGGAAAAGATTCTCACGATCCACCCTGTCTATTGCCTCTCATACTTTTGTAAGTCTCAATCGGATCATAGAATATAGAATATAGAACATAGCACAGTACAGGCCCTTTGGCCCACGATGTTGTGCTGACCTATTCTCCTACTAAGATCAATTTACCCTGCACACCCTACATTTTATTATCTTCCATGTGCCTATCCAAGAGTCGCTTAAAAGTCTCTAAAGTATCTGACTCCACTACCACTGTCGACAGCGCGTTCCACACACCCACCACTCTCTGTGTGAAGAACCTGGCTCTAACATCTCCCCTATACCTTCCTCCAATCATCTTAAAATTATGCCCCCTCGTAATAGTCATTTCCGCCCTGGGAAAAAGTCTCTGCTTATCCACTCTATCTACGCCTCTCATCATCTTGTACACCTCTATCAAGTCATCTCTCATCCTTCTTCGCTCCGATGAAAAAAGCCCTAGCTCCCTCAACCTTTCCTCATAAGACCTGCCCTCCAGTCCAGGCAGCATCCTGGTAAATCTCCTCTGTACCCTCTCTAAAGCTTCCACATCTTTCCTATAATGAGGCAACCAGAACCAAGTGTGGTCTAACCAGAATTTTATAGAGCTGCAGCATTAGCTCACGGTTCTTATACTCAATTCCCCTGCCAATGAAAGCCAACACACTATACGCCTTCTTTACAACCCTATCAACTTGGGTAGCAACTTTGAGGGATCTATGGACGTGGACCCCAAGATCCTTCTGTTCCTCCATACTGCCGAGAATCCTGCCATTACCCCTGTATTCTGCATTCAAATTTGACCTTCCAAAATGAATCACTTCACACTTTTCTGGGTTGAATTCCATCTGCCACTTCTTTGCCCAGCTCTGTATCCTGTCAATGTCGCGTTGCAACCTACAACAGCCCTCCACGCTGTCCACAACTCCACCAACCTTCGTGTCATCGGCAAACTTACTAATCCACCCTTCCACT